CATTTAGTGACCATTCAAAGTTACAATGGCACTGACTTCCGGCTTGGGTCTCTTCAGCGACAGACCGAAATCCACGATCATGCACGGTTTCGATCTGTGCTCGCTGCTGGAGCGCCCCGATCCTTTGGATTCGGGGCTGAAGCTACCCCGTAGAGGTGGTGAAGAGGGGGGAGATTGCTAGCCAAGTGGAGGGGAGCCGTATCTCTCCTCCTTGGCTGGTCTAAACTCCCTTCCCCGAAGGCGGTTGCAGCGGTGGTCAGAAATGGCCACCTCAAAGAAGAACCCGACTGGATAAGATTGTGCAGGAGGAAGACAAAGAGGAAAGCAGGACAGACCGGGCTGAACAACAGAGAACATCTAAGCAAGGTACCTTGAATTTAAAAGTACCTAGAGGCATACTTCTGAAAGAAGATCTTTAAGTGGCGAAGGAGAGAGAGAAAAGGAGGTTAAAACCCCCTTTTAAAAACCTATATATTGACAATTACAAGTGGTATGGAAAGAAATTTATATTAATCTATTTTGACACTAATGGGCAACCTTAGGCTGAAATCTAGGTGTTAAAAGGAGAATAAAGATTTTTTCTTGGTCATTTTAAAGCCCTAAAAAGGAGAAGAGTGGAGGCAAAAGGGTGGGACTTGGAATAATGGAAAAATAAAGAGGATTAACAGTGAAACTTTGAAAAGACTCCCGAGGATACATTGTAACTGAAATCTTATTAAAAGATACAGTAACCCACGGAAAGGAAAAGTAAAGGAAAGAAACAAGAAGGAACAGTCTGGGATCATTTGGTGATTAAAAAAAAAGTTTTGGGCATTGGTTTTTTCTTTCTTTTTCTGTTTTTACTTAAAGTCAATCGGGTGGTTGTTCAAAAGTGTTAAAAATGCCATCACTCCTGGAGGAATTGAAGATGAGTCTTAATAAACAGAAAGAAGACGCAGAAAGGGGAGGAAGATCCTTTGGCTTCGTATTTGAATTTTTTGAAATGGAGATCCTGAACTATGAAAAGCAAAAGGAAAAACTTCAAGAACAAGAAGAAGGGCAGGACAAAGAAGTCATTTTCAATGATCAAATAATGCAGTGTGGTAATAAGGGGAAAAAGGGGGAAAGGAGTTAAAAGTTTGAGATCAAAGGGAACAGCCAAAAAGAAAAATAGTCTGAAAAAGAAGTACAACATCAAGGAGAAGCAGAAAAGAAAACCACAGAAGGGAAAATTAGAGAGAGAAGGGTATAAAAAAAGGGATGAGAAAAAGGGGGAAAAGATAGAAAGGGAAAGAAGTTATGAGGGACAAAAAGAGAAAATAAAGAAAAAGGGGAAACGTACTAGGATTAAAGGTATTTGCTCAGTTAGAAAACACAGAGACAATGTTTAAATTAAGTTAAAAGTGAGGATTCTGCAAAGGTACAAAAGATAGTGCTGTGACAGTAGAATACTGTAATGAGTTAGAAATGAAATAAGTAAATAATCTATGAGATAAAACTGTACTGTTATGTAATGGTATGTTTATTTATAATTAATGCAATAATAAAGAAGAGAGGGAAACATTGCAATTGTTTCTAAAGATTGATAAAATATTGAAAAGAAATATGAAAGATTCATAGGGAAATTGATACCAGTTATTAGAATAAATTTGAATAATTATTTTGCTTATTAATAGTAAATAATTTATAAGATAAAACTGTATGACTATCCAATGGTATGCTTATTAACAGTTAAGTAATAATGAAGAAGGGAGGGAAACATTTCAATTGTTCTCAAAGATTGATAGATATTGAAAAGAAACATGAAAGATTTACAAGGTTCATACCAATACTAGAATGATTTTGAATAACTATTTTGTTTACTAATGTTTATATATATATATATTGTTTTTGCTATGTTTTTAGAATTTTTCTTTTTACATTTTCAAGGGGAAGTACCAAGCAGAGTCTGAATGATGAGATCTACATGATATAAAATATATATTAGAAATTTGAATGTTATAATTTTAGAATGCACAAATTCAATGTTTAATGAGATTTCATATGATAATAACAAGATTTAAGGGTGTTGCACTTCAACTGGCAATCATAGGGGGAATTTTGCTTCTTAAGAATGTTGGAAGAGAACATATGAAATTGTAAACAAGACAGATGAAAGAATAAGTACAATGAATAAAAAGATATAGAAATTTGGGTAAAAGAAATACAATTGAATAAGAAGAAAATGAGATAACCATAAAAGAAAAATTAGAGAAGTAAAGGGAGAAATAGTGAGAAGTTGGAAAAAGAGTAATAAGATATGAAGTTGAATGCATAAGATGAATATGCATATGAAATTGTGTCTGTGTGGAAATGTGATAGCCCAGAACGATGCTGTACTCAAATCAGATGTTTTTGTTAAAACTCAATAAAACTTTATTTTTAAAAAAAGTTACAATGGCACTGAAAAAAAAAAGACTTATGACCATTTTTCACACTTACGACCACTGCAGCATCCCCAATGTCATGAGAGGCCAGGCGAGGAGAAGCGCCCCTTGACGTGAGTGATGTTGAGTTGGCCACGTCCACCCAGTCACATAACCACCAAGACCCACCCATCAACTAAGCCATGCCCACAGAACCAGTTGTTTAAAAATTTGAATCCCACCCTTGTGCACAATGTGTCTCACTGCCAATTTATTTAGTTTTTAGTGGAGTTTTGCTAACTCCGTTATGGAAGTCCTGATTGCCACTATTCATGCCTTAATCACTTCCAGGTTGGAATATTACAATGAGCTCCACATAGTACTGCCCTTGAAAACAATGTAATTGTCCCACAATACACTGAAGATGATAATTACGGTTGCAGTATGGAACATTCATGTAACACTCTAATTTATGAGTTGTATTGGCTCCTAATAAGTTTCTGGTGAAATTCAAGATGCTGATTTTTATTACAAAGCCTGTAAAGAGCCAAGGAAAGAATCTTGGGGAAATCAGACAGAGCCAATGGTTGCAAAAACATACTTTAAGCCTGGGAAACAGAAAACGTTCTGACCCATCTGCTGAGCTGCCTGCTTAATCATCAGGGTGAATTGGTCCATCTGTATTGGAACCCAGTTCTTGTGCTACACGGTTTGATTCTGATACCAAAAGGGGCTTTGATGAGGTCAGTACACATAGGACATTTCAGACAATTTCTCCTCTTGTAGAATTGGAATTAAAGAGAAAATGCTCTTGGTGTCAGAAAATTGTCTCAGGACTTTCTTTTTGGAATTAGATTCAAGACAAATTATATATATATATATATATATATATATATATTAAACAGTCTCAACAAGACATGGATCAGGTTCTACATACCACATATGTATTTTTCCAAGGGTTAAACTTTCCTTCCCCCTGTCTGTTTTTAACGGACTGATAGAAATCTGCTTCTCAAGCTAGAGTCTACTGGAGTGGGCAGCCATAACCGATTTAAATAATAATAATGCCCAATTATTTGTGCTTGGGCAGTTCTAATCCTCCTAAAACCTTTCAATTCTGATTTAAAAGTAGACTATATTTTCTCAAGTTATTAAAAAAAGATAAAGACGTATTTTGGGGGGGATGGGTGGTTTTGGATAGAACAGCCTTACTATAAACATGATAAAATATATTTAATGAGATAATAAAGCAAAGAAAACTATGTCTCTGTGTAGACAATTTTTACATTTAAATCTATGTTCTTTTGCCACACTCAAGTGAACCCAACTTTGTTATAACATTATCTTTTCATTGATTATTTCAAGCTTGAATTGCTCTGCCTAGTATTGAGGAAGGGCAGCTTTTCATGATAAATATTAGATGAAATCCTGAATGCCTAGAAGACACAGATAGATGCAGGCGCTCAGCAGTAAACATTCCTAGCACAGCTTAGATTCACATAACGTGTTCTCCATTGCTGTGGCATAATTGAAGAGAGAAAAGAACCCTGCTATTCTTAACAATTTTACCACCTACTCTTCTCCTATACTTACACTATACTGTCATTACTAGTTGTATCATCCATATTAACCTCAATAAAACATAAGCAGGAAGTAGTAAATGTATTGCCACAATCCCCCAGTCTTTCAGATATGAATTTCAGATATTAAAAGGCTAGTTTAATAAGGTAGAATAGTTGGCTCCTGTTTCCTGCATCTATTGTTTTAAGAAATTAGACTCAAATAATCTAGCTTTCAGCCCCCAACCAAGAATGACATCTAGTGATTCTTCCAAGCTAAGTTCTTTACTATTTCACACCTATGTACAAAATCTTGCCAGATTGAAGAGTCTACTATCTCCATCTGCCATATATTCTGAGAACTATTAGGAAGGATCTGTCTTCACCCTCTTTCTCTCACATATAGTGTCTGGGCTGAATTGCCTCTCATGCCTCTATGCACCACCTCCCTCCTGGGAATCCTCTTTACTATATGCCATGACAACCTGTTGAAAATAATAGTGAACTTTTGTGTACAAAATGAAGTCTTAAAGTGCAGGTTGACCTTATTTGTGGGGGTTGCTTCCCAGCATACAACCATGGATAATGATGTTGCACGTAATGAAAAGTTGAGACTAGGAGAACTGAGGAGCTAAATTCTAGAACATTAGAAAATGACTAAAAAAAAAAAAACCAAACATGTAAGGAAAAAGCAGAAAGGACACTGTTCTTTGACCATTTCAGATATTCCTTTCCCCCTATTTTATTGCAAACAGAAAAATCAGAAATAAAAATTATGTGTACTTATATATTTCCCTGGGGAGGATAAAATAAGAGGATTGATCAAAAGGGTCAGAAAGCTGCAGATATTTGGAAACTGGGAAACTGATGGGAGTGAAGGGCAAATGTTTATTTCACTATAGGTGTAAAACAGCAGGCAGATCAAAGCTACACTTTGGCAATGTATGCATATGTTAAAGAATTTACTTTCTGATACAGAATTATCAACCATGGAAATGAGCAACTACTACAGCTAATGAAATCCCACCAGTGAATAAATTAAAATCGCACCAATTACCTTGCACTTTCAAAAGTTGCAGAAGGTGACTTCCCAACAGCACCAAATCCAACACCAACAGCCAAACCCTCTGAAACAGAGCAAGAAAACAGTTGTTACTAATCCTGCAATTAGCTTGGAAGATTGTTCTATTCAAATATTCGTTTTATATAAAACTTGCAGAATAGCAACAATTCTTACCTGATGTAAAAGTCTATAATTTTCCACTATCTTGGAAATCATAAATTTTCTCATGTCTACAAAATGCATTACTTGTTGATGCTGCATGCACCTCAGAGGCTCGGGGAGACGCGCAACTTTCTCTCTGCCTCAAGACACTGGCCTGGTGAGGCTGCAGCCGATGCTCTACACTGTAATAGGCTGGAGGAGGAGGAGGAGGAGGGGACGCTGTCTCCCCCATTGTGTGAAGTGCGCTAAATCTAAGTGTGTTGTGCAAGACACTGCAAGAGTAGCGAGCAGGCCATGGAGGTGGTGAGAGCAGCGGCATCAGCCGCAGCCGGGCCAGACCAGTGTCTCGGGGTGGAGAGCAAGTTGTGCATCTCACCCAAGCAACTGAGTATGTGCAGCATCAACAAGGGCCAGAAGAAGAGGCACATACAGGGGCGCTTTGCTCCCACTCTGGAATATGGAGCAAGTCTCCATCTGCTGCCATCGCCCTTACCTTCTCAGGCCAGGTGAGGAATGACTGGGAGGGGAGGGCAAGGGATGGGGCCAGCCAATGGTGGGTTCAGCTGACACGGAACCATAGGAGAGGGATGAAAGAGCCACGGGTTGCCGACACTGACCCAGAAAAAAGTCCCACCACAGTAGTCTTTGGAGAAGAATGAAGGGCTAAGAAGCAGGAATGACAATGCATCCACAAAAGAGCGACCATTATCCTATAATATTAGAGGCAAGCTCTGTACCGTACTTGAATCAGGAAGCTAGAAGAAGCTGAACAACTAACTCTGGGAAAGAAAGAGGACATAAAAAGTCAAAATAATAAAAGTTTAAGAACTAAGCTATAAAGCAATAAAAGAGATAAGGAAGTGTTAGCAAAGATAAATAATTGGGAGAATGAGAACAAGAGGACTAAAGTTAAGAACTTAAGGTTTGGATGAGAAAGTTGCTGCTAAGTAAAGAAAAGGCTTCAAAGTTGAAACCAAAATCTAACTAAAAAGGAATTTTGTTAGAATAAGACAGAAAAAACAGCTAACATTTAGAAATGCAAACATTAAAAGTGACACTAATCACTATCTAATAAATCAACACTATATTTTGCATAAAATTGTATAAGAATACATAATAAAATCCTGATTCTTGTCTCACTGTCTTTATATTCCTTTATATAAAAAAAGAATCCCATGATATAATTATACTACCATCCCTCATCACCATCTATTATAACTGGGACTGAAAAGAATCCCATAACTTTACACTACATTCCAATGGAAAGCTATCTTGTTTACTGCACAGATCTGCAAGACCAAATAGCCCAACAAAACTGATTTAAGGTGGCTGTTCCACATCTGGAATATCAAGAGAAAAACATAAGGCATGGCATTTTGTTTTTCAAGCAAATCCCACATAGGAAAATATAAACCGAATTTCTTATTGGAAAAAAGCAAGTCAATCTTTCCTGAAATGACTTTTGTCAGTAAAAACCACTTTTGCTTTGTCAGCCTTGCTGATGTGAAAATTAGAATTCTTAGGACATGTTAACTCACAGGAGATGAATTTTGTTGTGAGACGCATTTCACATTTTTTTAAAGTTATTACAGTAAAGAACTCAGCATGTTCTATTAAGATACCCTTCTGCCAGGTGCATTTTCAGCTCGCAGGGGATAAAACAGAACTGCTTTAATTACAATTGCATTATCTGTTAATAGGGAGAGAAAAGAAAGCATTTAGCCTTCAAACAGGTGCAGGAAATCAGACAATGTTTTGTGCTCACCAGAGATGAATTTTGAAGTAATTCCTGCATAATTGGCTCTTTCTCCTTAACTCAATTATGGAGACTTCTATTTTCCTCCCTTCTGTTATATTCCCTTTCTTTCAATAGTGAATGTTCATGGAATAACTCTTACCTGTATAGAAAACATCAAGGTATTTTTTAAAATAATATGTTGACAGACTCTACTTACAAAGGAATATAGATGGGTACACCAGATGGTGGAAAAGGGAAAAAAAGCATTGGAAGAATATTTGAAGGATAGTGAAGTAGATGCATTGAAGCTGGTATGTCTTGAAGCATTACTGAGTACTGAAGAGATGAAATTGGCTTTCAAGAAAGACCAAATGAAAAAGAGAAAAAAGATACAAAGTATCTCTATGAGGCAAAGTATTACATAGCCAGTATGTAACAAAAATAGCAGGCAAACCAGATAACAGAACTGGCAATGGCTAAAAGCAGAAAAATTTAAGAAACGGCAGAGGTGCTAATTCTAGCTGCACAAGGCCAAACTTTAAGAACAAACTCATACTAAGTCAGGATTGAGAAGACAGAAGCAGACAGCAAATGCCACCTCTGCAAAGAAGCTGAAGAAACACTGGATTATCTAAATGCTCTAAGAAGGTCATACAGACTGACTACAAGGAACAGTACAACATAATAACAATAGTGTAACAATAGCAACTATAGTGCATTGGGATATTTGAAAGAAGTACCATTTGCCTGCAAGCAAGAACAACAAAATAGACAAATAATAGAAAATGAAGAAACTAGGACTTTAGAATTCAAATAGAAAAAAAGCATCTGCCATATAACACATCAAACTTAACAATAAGAAAGACAAAAAGTCTGAACTGCAGATGTGGCAGTAACAGGAGACAGAAGAAGAGAAGAGAAAGAATGAGAGAAAATCACAAAATATAAAGACCTGGAAACAGAAATAGAACAACTTATGCAACATATATTTGTTATCATTCACTTCAAGCTCTAAATTTTTGAAGGGAGGGGGAGAGAAAAGGAAGAAAAACTAATTATAGACAAAAAAAACCAAAAATTATAGTACAGCTTTTAATCTCTTGGAGAGTTTTTTTTCATTTGCATACAATGAGACAGTGAAGAAATAACAAACTCATTCTGATTCCTTGATTCAAGAGACAAATTTTGTATAAATGCTTGTCTTGACTTTTAGATTCCAAAGTACATAAAGCACTCAATGAATAAGGAGGAGGAGGTTAGAAACAAGACCAAGGAATTCAAGATAAAGATTCATGAACACCAAAACAAAGAAGAGAAAACTGGTGAGAACTAGGGTAGAATGGAATAAATCTTTGGAAAGAATTCAAAGTGTCTGGATGTTCTTCCATATCTGCCCAAAAGAAATGTCATCATAGGCCAAGATTGGCAAGTGAGATAATTATTGCTATTTGAGATTGATAAAACCTGTTCTGTGTGAATGGTGCCATGGATAAATGTGGGGTTTTTTTCTGGATTTCTATTACAAAACCAAATAAAACAATCAACTGGAAATACTGATAATTTCTACAAAAGTTTGCAGTGCTTCAAAATTCTTAGCCAAACTTTAATGTACCAATAGTCCTTTTATTTACAACCATTCATTTAGTGAGCATTCAAAATAGCAACAGCACTGAAAATAGTGACTTATGACCAGTCCTCACATTTACAACCATCACAGCACCTCTAGGGTCACTTGATAAAAATTCAGACACTTGGGTAATCAGCATGTATTGACAATGGTTACAACATCCCAGGGTCATGTGATGCATAATTACTGCCTATATGCAGCCTATATGCAGTTAGAATTTCACCATTTGCAACCTTCTCAGCTGACCACTGACAAGCAAAGTCAATGGGAAAAGCAGGATTTGCTGAATAACAGACTAAGTCACTTACCAATTGCAGTGATTTGCTTAACAACCATGGCAAGGAAGGTGTGATGACCCGGAGTGTAACACAAATGTAACAAATTCCAAAACATAAATAAATGTCCTTTAATGCCTCCAACTTGGCCCCATTGTTCAATAATACACAGCTGGAGATAAAACTACTCAAAAATAGTCTTCAAAAGAAAATAGTACAGTCCAAATTTAATGAGCAGATAGAGGTGAAATTAAAAATCAAACAAACTACAATGACGAAATGTCCACAATGGAACAGAAGTATTTATCAAATTCAAGGAGATAACAAGGCACAGTCTGCTGGAAGGACGCCAACCAAGATAACTTCAGACCAAAATAAAACATGTTCGCTTCTGACAACCTGTGTTTTAACCGTCTCTCCAGCTGTAACCAATGAGGTGGATCATGGCCGCTTCCTCTCTCGCAAACCAAGTTGTTGCCTTCTCTGTTCCTCCCTGCATGTCCAAGGATGCAGAGGGGATGGGTCTGGTTCTTCCTCTGACTGCTCAGCTGGCCTCTGCCCTTCCCCAGCCTCCTCCACAACCTCCGGAGCCACACCTCCACTCCCTGTGAGCTGTTCATCCTCTCCCTCAGAGTCTGACCCTACCAAGGGCATGACGAAAGGTCATAAAATCAAGTGACGCTCACGTTAACAACTATCTTGCCTAGAAATGGATATTCTGGTCTGTATTGTGATTGTAAGATAAGGACTATTTATACTATGAGGAAGTAACGTTGGCCTCTTAGGTCTAGATGGAAAATCTGTGGCTTTCCATATGTTATTGCATCATCTTTCTCAATACACTCAAAAAACAAAGGTCTGAAAAAAATTGCACACTTCTATCTGCCTTTTGCTAATGATAAACATGTCATGTACTGCACAAGTCTTATATTCAGTGTGAGAAAGAAAGGACCCTAGATGCGTAATTACTGCCTCTATACAGTTAGAATTTCTCCAGGCAGGAGATACATTCTGTGCCATTATCCAGAGAAGCTATGTCCTTTAAAGAACAAAATGTCAGTAAACTACATCAGAAAAAAAGACACTTCAGTTGCCCAAATGCTGGTAAAGACAAAGGAAGACAGTCTAAAAGCCATGGAAAAACCAGGCCAATTATCCACTGGGAATTCCCAGCAGGAAACCTAAAAAGTAAAATACAAACTGCAGCTACCCACACAATATAAATAGGAGAAAACTGTGTTCAGCAGAAAGTACATGTTGAG